CTTTCATCTTCCTACCCGATATTTTGCGGAAGAATTTTTTCTTAGCCTACCCTACCCGACAGGTGTGGTATTTCTACCCGACTTCCTATCTGATTAATCGGGTAGGAAATCGGGTAAACATTTTGTAACAATTAATTTTTGGATCATTTTAATAATTTAATTAAATAACATGCACCAATTTAACAACACAATAAATCAATTAATACTAAAATCTAAAATAACTACAACAAGAATTATAATAAAACACAAAAAAATATGAACATCAATCCACCATAATTGTTACACAAATACAATAACAATTAATTTAATTTTAAACTTTAAAACATATGAAATAAATTAAAATCATAATTGCTCCGCTTGTGGTTAGGATTTAGGGTTTTTTAGTTTACATATATATATTAAAAAATTATTGCAGGTAGAGTAGGGTACGAATGCGGAAATGGATGACTATTTCGCATTCCTACCCGAAAATTGTCGGAAGACCAAAAACTCTTCCGCATTCTTACCCGATTTTTGCGGCTAGTAGTTCAGTAGGATAGGGTAGGGTCAAAATTTGCGGCCGGTCGAAAATTTGAATACCCCCCAACTGTAGCTAATGCCTTGGCTAATCAGGCAGTGAATGATGGGTTCTCTTTTGATTTTTTTGTGTCCAATCAGCTACCAGTTGATGTGCTTCGAAGACTGGTGCAGGATCAGAGATGTTTACCAGTTTTGAGAACTAAAAATGTTTTGGTTTTTGATGATCATGGATGAATTGTGTAGGGTATGTAGGGGTGTAGGAGGTTGTTGGCCTTGCCGGAGCAGATCTGGAGCTGGAATGATTGTGCCCATAGAAGAAAATTTTTGGTTTTTTTTTTTTTTCATATTTTGAAGGATTAAAGTCATTTAATTTGAAATGGATATTATGAATTTGTTTCCTTTTGCTTCTTGTAATTCTTTAAATTTTATTCAATAAAATCTTTTGATTTTTTTTTAAAAGGTGTTAAACAGATAGAATATAATATGTGGGTTAAACAGATTAAATATGTCATGTTATGTGTTAACTTGAAAATGACATGTTTATTAAATGTATGAAACGTGTTAGGTTCGGGTAATACGTCCAGTGACCATGTTAGGTTAGTGTTTACACATCTCGACACGATTATTAAATATGTCAGGTTCGTGTTTAGGAATTTTTGACACAAACCCGACACTAACCCTACAAGAAATGACCAAACTTGACATGTTTGACACCCCTATGATTTTATATGACTTTTTCTAATAAGTAAAATTAAATTTATACTCTATTTTTTTAAAAAAAAAAATTATATTATTTCAAAACTCATTTTTTTCAATTTTTTTTTTTGTTGAAATGATACTCTCTGATTTCACTTGAAGTAGTAGATCTTCGACTTTCGTGGGTTGAGCTAAAGGCAAGTCAAGCTCAACTAATGACCTCAGCCCAGGGGCGGAGCTAAATTTTTTTTTTAGGGTGGGCACACTAGTAGGTTTTAATTTTTTTTTAATAGACCATAGAAGTTCATAAATTTATATTTATTAAAATTATATTTACTACTTTTTAAACATAGAAGATTAAAAATTGATATACTCATAAAAAAATAATGATTAAACCTTATTATTGAGAATATGACTAATTATTATTTCTTATAATTGACCCTTGTATGTTTTTATTATTTGAAAGAGTTACATATTAATTTTATCAATAATATTTCTCTTATATATAAAATCGCTGTAATAATCTTTCATTTATGATCCTATAGTTTACTATATAATGACACACATTTTTATACAAGAACGAAATAATCCTACAATTTTAAAAAATTATAAAATAACATACAATATGTTCAAAACATATTCGGACATGTCTAAACGTTAACAATGATGTTAGTAGTACCTAATTTGAGATTTAATTGATGGAGACCCAATGATTTGCAATTATATAGATAATAAAGTTTATTAAATATTAAGACTCATTATTATACTTAATATCGCAATGTATTAGGTCTTTAAATTATGTTTCAATAACATTGTTAAAAAATTTAACAATCATTTAGGTATGAGTCTATTCAAATTAATATTACCAAAACACAATATTAGGGTGGACACAATTAAATATGTCTAAATTTTATTTCAAAAAATACATGTTTAATATGAAGCAAAAAACAAATTGACAGGGAGCATGTGCCCCCCCTAGCCTATGGGTGGCTCTGCCCCTGCCTCAGCTTAATCAAAAACTTAAGAGTTCAGAAAGATTAGCGCACGTGGAGAGTAAACATAGGGATAACCATTACTCGAAGATAACACCTATCCTCATTTGTAGCTATCCTCCTCGTTAAACTAGTACCTTGACCCTCACATTACCGCATTAATTAGGGCTCTATTCTATAAATTGTAAACCCTCTACACATAAGGGAGAGACAACTATCTCTCACACACCTCACCTTCAGTGTATTCTTTCTCTCCTACGACCTTGTATTCTCTCATTAATAGAGTTCTTCAGTCACCGTTGCTGCCTTCAGTGGTTAGGCCACCAAACTCAACCACCCAATTTTGTTTCTTATTATTAATTGTTTCTTTAATTGCTCTACACCACACACTCGATTGATTTGATTGTGCATAAATTCACTTTTGTGCATCATCAGTTTGACGCCGTCTGTGAGAATCGATTTGATTCTCACCTTATAATTTTCTTACCATCAAGACTACCTTCAATGGCAACTACAATCAGATCCATGAACTAATAAGCAGAAGATGACCCACCACACCACGACGAGGTCTCCAGCCACCACCGATGAACCCTGTCCTTGAATCCCAACAACAGTTGGAGACAATGTAACAACTATTTATTCAGAACAACCATATCCTCATGTTGAGGATGTCGCTAAAGTAAGGCGAGCTGGGTCTTCACGTAGTCAAGAATACAAAAAGTAGACATGTGCAAAATTTATTTTTTCACTAATTTGTGTTAAAGTTCAAATTCAATGAGAAAGAAGCTTTTTTAGGGACATTTGGTGCCCAAACCCCCGTGAGCAATTTGATTGTAGTCGATCTCAAAAAAATATCAGAATTCAAAAAAATGTTTGTTTCAAATGGACAACCGAGCGCAAAGTTATGACCGTTTAAAGTTTGACTGTAACGCCCCAAAATCTACATTGGACGACGTTACAATTTAAAAAATCATTCACATTACGAGAGTAACTAATAAATCCATCATTAAAGAAAATTTCATTCATCATATATAACATTTACAATATCATCCCAAAAGAATATGCCAAACATGACCTTTGTATCCAAAAAGAATATGATGAACTATGACAATTACATCTAACAAAATCAAAATTGAACTTTGTAGCGGAATGACAAAATGTTAGACTTTACATAGTCTCAAAAGGAATTTCCTAGTCTATCACATAGGAGAGTATGACCCTAAGCATCCACCTCGGGATCCCCGTGCCCATCTAATGGAACTTCCCAATGTACCGACTCATCGACTCCGAGCTCCTTCTCTTATACAAAATCTGAAAATTATATTGTTTGTAGGGGTTGAGCACTAAGCTCTGTAGTAACATCCTTTCAAACTCGAACAAGGTTTAAAAAAAGAATATAAAATAGTTCGGTCTCACTTTTTAAAATAGCATATATAACTTGAAATAAAACAGTGACAATTTATTTGATCTCAAGTTAACTCAATAACAATAATTTAAATGAAAGGAATAAGCATGTCGGAGTTATAGAAATCAAATAATCATTCAATAATGTCATCTCATATTCTCGTGTATGTTGGTTGTTTCCCATGAATATAACACCACGATTCTACCTCGTTCATTCACTATAATCACACAATCCCAAACATTTTAGGAAGGGCATATATCGTCTCTCACGGCATTGACGAATCCTTCCCATGAAAGGTATATCATCCCTCAGCCTCGAACTTACATGAACAATAGTGGTTGTTCTCACAAACAACAAATCACTACAAGTTTTAGGAAACCATCTTACCCCCACTGGGATAGACTAACCTCTAACGCTCTACGGCAGTACTCGAATACAATTCAAGTCCATCACAGCAACCATACAAGAGAAGCAATAACAAACATTTTCTCAAATCATAAGGAAATCCAAAATCCCCAAATTTCATAATTTGTATTACAAGAAAATAATTTAAGAGAATAAGCAAAAGATCATCAACAAATCCATTTTTATTGTTCATTACAAAGCACTAAAGTTTTGAAATCAAGAATAAGGGAAAAATCAAGAGACAAATTCATTTATCTTGGAAACTAGGGTTTGAAGATGAGAAAGGGCTTTAATGGCTATCCAAACATAACATTGTTTAAAACATAGTAATAATTGCAAGAATAGCAAGAATTAAAGATTTTATAGCATACATATGTGATTTAGAGTTAAGAAGTACGTATATATAAGTCCTAGCCTCAATGTAAGAAAATAGAAAAAAATCCCAACCTTGGTGTTCTTGAAAAACTAGGACTTTGATCCAATCCAATGTGTAAATCCCTTTTGATATTGTATTTTTCCCTCTCTTTCTTCATCTCTAAGGTTTCCTTAGGGTTAGAAATGTTGAAATGAGACTAAATGTGACGTCCTTATATATTTATAGGGGGAGAATCGGATCCTAGATCGTGACTTAAAATTTTTTGAAATTTACAGAGTGTACCGGTACGGTTTGGCTACTGGACCTCAGCGAACCAGTACTCTTTGGCGACTTTTGTCCATTTTACCTGTTTTTTCATTTCCAACTCATTCCAAACCTTTCCAAAACCAACCCAAACTGGTATAATATAAATTTGTACATCAAACATAATTGGTACAAGTTCTATTATAAACGATTTTATATATTTACCCGAATTTTTACAATATTAACATTTCTACGGTTGTAACATATATTGTTCATTCCTACGCCATTACATATATTAAAATTACTAAACACTTTTATCATTATATTAATATTAACATGTAGGGATTTACATTGACTATTTTTTTTATGATTGTCTAATACTCCACCAAGCATTGCTACCCAATATGCTAGGACGTCGCCCGTCGTCTCCCAGTGGCCCAAAGAGACACTTGGCACCACTTAGTTGAACACCGCGTCTCCTTGGAGCCTTACCGCGAAGATTGGTGCCGCCTAGAAACTCGCAAAGAATAGCACTGCCGTCCAATTGGGCTCCACCAGTTGAGCCATTCTGCCTAGCATTGCCCAGGCCTAGGCCAGCACCCAGCTGCCTGGCATCGCCCAGGCCAAGGCTAGTACCCAACTGCCTGGCGTAGCCTAGGCTACCTTGCGTTGCCCAGGCTAGCGTTGCCACTCACACCGTCTTTGTCCAGGCCAGCCCCAACTCCACCGGCACTGAAGCCTACTCTGCCCAGTTGGCGTCGCCTCCAAATGCCTAGGGGTGCTGTCGTTGAGGCAATCTCTAGCGCCAAAGGAATCGCCCAAGTCATTGCGCAGTCGCCTCCTCCTACCCCTATGCGGGCGTTACTGCCCTCTACGCCCAACCCATAGTGAAGTCCAACGGCGTGTCCCTTGTGCCCTGCGCATCCTCGTGTTGCCTAATGCAACCTTGGTGCGCTGCCCAACACCTTGGCGTCACCCAAACCAGCCCCAACTCCACCAATGTCAAAACTTGCCTCGCAAAGGACATCACCCTGGCCAGCTCCAACGCCACCGGCGCCGCCTAGCATTTCGTAGCAACTAATGACCTATAAGCCCTCATTCTTGGCGTCCCTCATCCCCCTTCTGGCGTCGTCGTCTGCGACGTCTATCGTTGTTTCCATTGCCCTTCCACTTGCCTTCATGCTTCTTTCTTGTAACCTCCCTCAATGGCTTATGGAATGGAGAGGATAAGAAGAAGATGGGTCAAATCTATATATACTGGCCTCTGAGGCCCTAAGGATGATACCTTCACCTTGGTGCTTGCCTTGCCTGCCTTCACACCTATCTAGGTGCACCGCAACATTGCGTGCCCATCTCATCCGGTAGTGCCTCTTATGATCGACGTCACCCCTACTAGTGCATCAAGTGACCTCGTCTTCCGCGCTCTACGCCAATGCACCGTCGATTCTATGCTATCGGCGCCCTCTGGCTACCTTCACTGCCCTCTCCGTCTTTTGGGAGAGAGTCTCCTGAGTCACCCAAATCTCGACCCACTCTGCCTCTGCTTTGACGTAAGCAGCTCAATCCTTAACTTAGCAACTCTCACTTGAGTTGCGAAAAAGCTCGGCCTCACTTTGCTTCTGCTTTCAAGCAGTCTATGTCTCCAGCTTCGCACTCTCTCGCTAATTGCCAAAAAACTTGGCCTAATCCTACTTCTACTCTCACGCTAGCAACTTATATCTCTAGCCTAACATCTCTCTCGTGAGTCACCACAAGCTCAGCTTAACCCTACATCTATTCTCACGCATGCAGCCTATGTCTCCAGCTTAGCACATTTCTCACAAGTCGTCAAAAGCTTGGTCTCTTCTTGTCTCTGCTTTCACATGGACAGCCTATGTCTCCAACTTAATGACTCTCTCATGAGTCGCCAGAAGCTCGACCTAATCCTACCTTTGCTCTCAAGCAGTCTCAATCCCAAGTGAAACATTTCTTTCACGAGTCGCTAATAGCTCGGCCTCTTTCTGCCTCTGCTCTCACACAAGCAGCCTATGTCTCCAACTTAATGGCTCTCTCCTGAGTCGCCAGAAGCTTGGCCTCTTTCTGCCTCTGCTCTCACGCAGGTAGCCTTAGTCTCCACCTTAGTGCCTCTCTAATGAGTCATCAAAAAGCTTAGCCTAATTCTTGCCCCTACTCTCAAGTAGCCTTAGCCTCTAGCTTAACAGCTTTCTCATAAGTCGCCATAAGTTTGGTCTAACTCTGCCTTTGCTTACATTTAAGCAGCCTCGATTTTCAAAAACTCGACATCAAGACGTGTTGCTCTCTCATGAGCTAACCTTAACTATTCCTCAACAGCCTGGCGCACCCGCCTTTATTTCGCCAAAGCTCTCAACACCTCATCCAGTTTGAGCATCCTTGAAAAAAGGCACGAAAAGGCTATAGCCATCTACGAATATCCGAAAGTAGGAATGTTAGTATGGCTAAAACATATAGAAGACAAGATTGCACATGAAAAAAAGGTACCATAGCAAAGCCATCCATCGTGTCACAAACATCCAAAGATGCTCCTCAGCCAAGTTCACGTCTTGCATCATGGACACCAGCCTGTTGAAAACAGGAAAATTGCGTAGAGCTTTGGTCTCAATGGAAGTCTACACGGGAGTCTCAATCTCTGAAGTACTCCTACGACTAGCCGTAGGACTCAAAGGGTTAAATGCTAAGAATAAGCTGGGACACTATCAGACCCCTCTTTCTAAGAAATAGTAAGGCCATCAGACCTTAGCTGGGAAGTGCTGCAAGCATCAGATCTTGCCCTTTTGGGATGAGGGGCAGTTGTCATCTTAGTTACATAGAAAGCCTCCATCATTGATCTATCAACCAAGGGATCACCGATGGCGTCACCTTGGATCATCTCCATGGCGCCCTCTTTCCTTTTCAAAGGTGCCACTTGCCATACATCTCCATCTCCTTGCACAGAAGCTACATGCCTCTCTTTATTCTCTTTACTGCTTGTGGGCTACCAGACGAAGAAATAACCTTCAAAAATGCAATGGAGAGGAAAGCTAAACGGAAGAAGCCACCGTGTGGAACAAGGTACCTTGGTGTACCCAAATGGAGGAGCTCACTCATGCCCTTAACCCCCGTATTATTACTAGGGCATGGGGCATAAAGGGCAAATGACAAGCCCAAATTTAGACTAGGCCTGAGCCTAGTTCGTGGGTTAAACCCAAATCATCAAAAGGCAGGTTAAACTCAACTAATGACCTCAGCCTAATCCAAAGCTTAAGTAATGACCTTAGCCTAATTCAAAGCTCAAGAATTCAGGAAGATCAACGCACATAGGGAGTAAACATTGAGATAGCCATTACTCGAAGATAGCACCTATTCTCAATTGTAGTTATCCTCNAAGTAATGACCTTAGCCTAATTCAAAGCTCAAGAATTCAGGAAGATCAACGCACATAGGGAGTAAACATTGAGATAGCCATTACTCGAAGATAGCACCTATTCTCAATTGTAGTTATCCTCGTTGATAAATTAGTACCTTGATCCTTAAATCATTGCCTCAACTAGGGTTCTGTGCCTATAAATTTTAAGTTCTCTATAAATGAGGAAGAGACATCTATCTTTCACACACCTCACCTTAAGCGTACTTTTGCTGACTCCCTTTCCTACTACCTTGTACTCCCTCATTAATAGATTTCTCCAGCCACCGTTGTTGCTTTAGGTGGTTAGGTCACCAGACCCAATCACCCAATCTTTATCTCTTATTGTTAACTATTTCATTAATTATATTACACCATACACTTGACTCGACTGATTTAATTGCGCATAAATTCACTTTTGTGCATAATCACATTTCTTTAAACAAGAGTCTCATTCTTCTAAGATGGGGGAGAATGAGTTTTTGATTGAAAGGATTAAAATTCTTATATCAGATATGAAGGGGAGTTTTCCCCATTCCTCTCTCTTGTAAAGTACCGCCCCAAGTTGAAATCGGCTTCAAGCCCCAAAATCCAGAGAGGCAATGGGGGTTGGGTGGATGGATTTACAGCAAGAGTGAGAGAGAGAGAGAGAGAGAGGCAGTGGGAAGGGAGCGTTATGGCAAGCAGTGGTTGGTGGGCAAGAACAGGGATGGGAGGGAGAGAACAGGGATGGAAAAGGGCTTTTTGGCTCAAAAAAATTTGAGTCAAAGATTTGGTTCTCCCTCAATTTGAGTCAGGAAATAAATTTCCCTTGTTTTGGTATTGGTTTGAGTCAAATATTTGATAGATTTTTGAGCCCTTTTTACCCAAAATTAAATTTGAGTTTTGTTTTGAGTAAGGAGTGGAGATGGTCTAAGAAAGACAAGATCTTGGGCAGGAATGATGATCTAAGAAAGACAAGATCTTGCGCAGGAATGATGGTCCACTCTGTTTGGCTTTCTTCTGTCTATTGTTTTGTGGAGAATATTTTCTTCTCCTTCTTCTCTCTCTCACTCTCTCTCTGATACGGGTGAGGAAGGAGGCATGGCTTCTCTTTTCCTTTACTTTTTAACCTCATTTATGGAAAGATGCAGCTGCATTAGAAATCACAACCTAATTCTAAAGAAGCAAATTCTTTGTACAATGAGCTACTCTTCTAAAAATTTACCATTTTTTCCTGGATAGAAATTCATAGAAAATTTCCCTCTGTGATGATTTTGTAGATGTTGCTGGCTTGGCATTTTAATATCAGTAGTTTCACTTATGATTTTTGATATTGTAGATGGTGTTTATATATAGATTTTCAGAATGAATGAAAATTTTTAGCGACATTGCCTTTATCAAAGTACCTGAAGTGCAATTAAGTTTGTAATCAATTTTTATGAAAAAAAAATGGGAATGAAGTGTGAGTTCAGGGTCTTTACTTGAAACCATATTTTAATCATATATTTCTTTTACCCTTAAACGTTGTAATTCTTTATTTTTGTGCATATGAGGGCAAGTCTTTATTTTTGTGCATGTAAGGGCATCAGCTCTTCATGTGCTATGCATCGAGCTACTGATTCATACTTGTTTTTACACTTAACCTCAATTAATATAGTTATAAATTAAAATGTAAAGTTTCAGAAGAAAAAGCTATTATTTTTGAAAAAATAGCTCCTAAATGCTTCCCAACAAGATATTCTTTCTACTAAATGTATCTGCTTATGACAATGTCTTGAAAAAACATGATATTTTGGTTACAAAGTGGTATGTGAGCCTTATGTTTGTAGTCTTGGATTCATTCAGACATTCCCAACACAAGCTGAAAAAAATTTATTATCTAAAAAAATGAACTATAATTAATGTGCATTGCACACGGACTTTTTCGCTAGTTCTCTCTAAAAACAGAGAATTTACATACGTATATAAATTACTAAAAGACTTCTAGACATTTTTTAATTTACTAATCTATTTACTATTCAAGACTCTCCGTATCCCAAAGTAAAATTAGAAGAAAAACAAGTTTAGAAACTAACATCATGTAGTCAAGTCTCAACTGACTATACACTGGAGTAGCAAGAAATAAAGACAACTTTCATATCATGAAAGGGTACAGGAAAAACACATTCTGAACACAGAAACCATGATAAAAGCCACCCTCATTCATCAACTACACCCTCCTTCCTTTTCTGCCCCCATTTTTTTGTTCCTTCTTAGTCTGAAAGACATTATAATTGCATCTGCTTTGAAGCAAAATTACTCATACCATTTGCAATTCACTTGCAGTCTTTGACATAACCGATGTGAACTCATCAACATCATAAACTGAATTATTCCTGGCATTCTCAAATCTTTCCCCATCACCCCACAAGGCATATGCTTCCTCTCCATGAACTGCATTGTCACCAATCTCCAACTCTTCCTCGCTCAGTCTAAGCGGAACCATCAACTTAATCAACAAACAAATCGCACTCGTCGTGACAACATTAAGGCATGTTATGAAAACAATTCCCAGAAGTTGAACGCCCATTTGTCGGAGTCCGGCTGAAGTTTGGCCGGTTTGGAGGCCATAGGCTAGGCCGATGTATCTTTCCCAGTCGGGTACGAGGTAAAAGAGACGGCTGAGTTTGGGCACGGCGAAAAAGCCGGTGAGAATGCCGCCTAGACTTCCGGCGAGGGCGTGGGTGTGGAAGACGGCGAAGGTGTCGTCGACATGCCTTAATAGGTTGAGTTTATTGTGGAGAACCATCATTGTGTACCAAGGAACACTTCCTGAGATCATGCCCATAAGTATGGCTGCCCAGCACTGTACTACTCCTGCGTGAAGGTATATATATGGTTGGAAATTAGAAAGAATTTAGTTGCAACAGAAAATGAAAAATATTTTTTTTTTCTTCTACCCTAGAAGAATAATGCTATTTGAGCCTAAAAATCAGACCTCATTTGCTAACCTAATGATGGATGAAAAGTAAATTCTAATGATCGATGGAGTCTACAATCAATCTAATGGTCATAGTGAATTAAGTCAGCAAATAAGGTTAAATTTTTTAGGTCCAAATAAGATTATTTTTCCTAGAACTGGCACGATGGCATGGTTGTATTATTACCGGGGTGGAGCTAGGATTTCATTATAAAAGGACCAAATAGTTGCATAAATTGTAATTTTTATTTAATGTGTGTTATTAATAAATTATTGTTAACAATATAGAATTTATTAAAATTAATTTCATACCATACATTGTAATGTATCCATTTTCAAAAAGAATTTGCATGATAAAACTTCGTCGAATTATATTTTTTACTTTTACATAGTGACACTGATTGTAACCATAATTTAACTATTTGTCCAAAATGTCACAATTAGAATGGTTAATGGTGAAATGTGGTCAAATCAATAATTGAGGGTAAAGTAAAATCAAGATCATAATGTGGTATAAAATACAATTTCAAAAATTTGGGAAACATGAACAAGAAAATAAAAAACATAATTTAGGGAAATATATAATATTTTTTTTTTGGAAAGAGAAGACTTGAATCCTTAACCTCAAAAAAATAAATTCTTCACAAGGTAAAAAATACGATTGGACCAATAACCCGTTGGTATATAATATAAAATAGGACATACTTCAATAAATTTATTCGACGATTTCAAATAGACTCATTCAATGACCACTAGCATCCCTTTCACAATCATTCACATTACACTGTAATTTCAGGCATGGATTATCAAACTTGAGTGGCCATGGCTCCCTTGGGCCAGAACTTGGCTCTGCCCTGATTATTATGATATGTCTGGCTACATGGACCGAAAATGTGTCTATAGTATTTTGCTACCGATACTGTGGACATTGTATGGATAGTCTGTCCCTTTTATAGTGAATCTGTTTTGGGTTCTTGTACTGGCATAATTCCCATGGATTTTGTGGATCCCTTCAATTTAGACTTTTCAATTGTAAACAAGATCCATGAACACAATATAAAATTGACATGAAATTTACGTGTTTGAATAACCTAAATAAATTTGGATGATAAATGATTAAACAACTAAGAGAAATACGATTAAAACCACATACGACATGAATTCAGTACGACACTGTTTATTGTCAACCGTGCTTAGCCTATGCATCAACTTTTTTTTTGCCTATTTTTCTACCAACCTAATATGAACAGTTGTGTCTGCAGGTGTTAGTGGGTTCCACTGATCATCTAACAATTATGATTAATCCAAATTAGTAGGTAAAAAAGTTGGGGAAAAAATTGATAAGAAAAGTTTTATTGCATATAATGTTGGAAGTTTCCAATGCCTCAGTTAGGTTCATTTTCCATTTAGAAAACTTTTCTTTGTTTTCTTTTAAATTTTAGCTAAACCGAAGCACACTTGGTTAAATATGAACATAAAGATTAATCATTGATAAAATGATTCGGATTAGGATTCAAAAATCATTGACAAAATATAATATGAAGCTTAATCTTTAGGTTTCAAATAACCATGGATATCAACATGAAGAATTAGGGTTCCAAAATCGTCGATGACAGAGAAAAAAAGGAGGAACCTCACTTTACACCTTGAAAAATTTAAGATTTCTTATTTTACACCCTTAAAAATTAAATTTCTTATTTTACATCTTCAAAGATTAGATTTATCATATTGTACCTTCAATATATTAATAGTGTTGTAATGTATCTCTTCCGTTAGTTTTAGTTGCTTATTCTGTCAAAAATCACCATATTACAGACGACGAAGTGAATAATGAAAACTAATGAAAGAGTTAAATTGTAATACTTTTAATATATTGATTGTACAAGATAAAAATATATAATCTTTGAAGGTATAAACCGAGAATTTCTAAAATTTTTAAAGTGC